AGTTTTGCTTGTCAAATTTTCAAATCATGGCTTATAAAACTATCAAGTATCGCCTTAATGGCTGATATTTCATTTCAGTTATACTGTATAGAAATACTATTGTCGTGTATATATATATATATATATATATATACCTACGTACAATTGCTGCTAATTGGTATATCAATTAATTTCTTAATTATCTAATTTATCCTATCGTAATCTGATAATAGTACAACTATCATAATAGTAAAACTAATTAGTTATTTTATACTGAAGTAAAAAATGAACAATATAAATGATTAACAAAGGCACATGCATCGTCCTATTGTTTTTTGTTTTAGTCCGAGCTATTCATTAATTTTTGTGTTGCTAAATTAATAAGCTCATCGAATGAAGGCTTTTTTAATTCCCTCCAAACTCTTAACTGATTTCCAAAAGGCCACCTTTTAGTTGTAAATTAGAATGAAATTCATGCCTTTAATTCAAAAATATAAATTAATTAGGACGGTTATTTGTCGTTAATCATGCATATAAATACATTAGGGGGTATTTGTCTGAGCTTATAAAAATTAGCTTTTAAGCAACAAGTGCTTATAGCTAATTTTAGCTTATAAACATTTGAAATTTTAAGCAATTACGTATTTGTTTAAAATACTTATAAGTGACTAATAGTAGTTGACTGTTTTGGTAAAATGTGGCTTATAAGTATATTTTATATAAAATCACTAAAAAAATGTACTACATTAAATAAGGGTATACTAAGAATTTTAAAATTAAACAAGGATAATGTAGTAATATATTTGGTCAAACTAGCTTTAAGGCAAAAAAAAAAAAAAAAGTCACCTCCCCCCTAACTTTTTTTTTTTTTTTTTTGTAAGCTCAAAAAAGTTATAAACAAACATGTCAGCTTAATTTTAGAGCTTATAAATTCAGACAAAACCCCCTAATTATGCACTTTTACCATCTGTAATTAGCAATTGGCATGAATTTCATTTGACCCCTGGGTGATTGGGTGGGATGATAAAAACTCTTAAGTTCATTATTCATAAGTTTTGAGTTCGATTTCTCTCCGTTGTAATAAGGGTGGCCATTGACCACTGGAAGATTTATCTAATTATTAACTTCAGAATCTCGGAGGATTAGTTGTGATGCACACAAGTTAGTCTGGTCCAGACACCCCGGTTAAAAAAAAAAAAATCTGATTATATATTGTTTAACATTTTTGTATTTTCATTATATATACAGTAACATAACTATTATCTTCTTTAAGTATGATTTAAACACATGCTATATATATGCTTCCATAATAAGGTAATTAAAGACATCCTCTTCCAGATTCATGAACCCTAACAGCATTAAAAAATCATTTTTTATGTTCCCGCGCCGTGCGGTTGCTTCGGGATGTGACATAATGAAACAATTATGGATACAAAACAAAACTCTGCCGTTTAAAAAATCGGTGAATCCAAAAGGAAAGAGTTGTTTGCTTGTTACAGATGAACAATAACTGACCATATAATTGTCCGCCAACTAGAAAGCCATAATCACTTTGTACGGGGGGTAACTGAAATGACAAAGTTGCTTTTCTACCTGATTATCAGAAGGGTTGTAATGATCCAATCAAACAGCCTAACTTTATTGAAATGGAAAGACTGTCTCATCGATCATCTTGTCAACCCTCTCTCTGTGATTTCTACTCCGACGCCTTTGCCTCTTTCTGAAGCAACACTGCAACTTGAAGAACTATACATGTATGTTATGTTTGGTGAATTTCTACTGGGTCTAGCCCAGTTTAATTAAGAGGCAATTTCGACAAATTCCCATTGCTAATGACGGCCCAAAGCACTATTAAGAGAAGGCATTAATACAAGCCCTTTAACAATGAACAAGAAAAGAGAAAAAAAATGTTTATTTATAGTCGTTTTCTGGGATGTAGCTATCTGTAGGTTAAATAATGCACGTATTTTTTTTTCTCTTTTCTTAAGGGAACATTTATCCCAATGAGGAAATGAAGGGGCTTTTTGGCCCTACACATATCTCCATATCCAGTTACATATTTCATAAGCAACAATTTAAACACCTTAACATTGATATTAATTTCTTCGTTTTGTTGCCTTGCCTGCAGCTTTGCTGGAGTAGGAAAAAAGTTAAGTGAGGAAGTTAGAACTCCCATATTAACGGGACAAGTCGGTTTTGCCTCATTATTATAATTCTAAAAACAGGATCTGAGTATATTCAAGTTGAGTTTGATTAATTATATGCCCTCACTGTTGAATTCCTAATTTTGCCTACTCCATTATAGCTCAATGCTATTTTAACAGTTATCATATTTTAAGAAAGAAAAAAAAGTTAAAATTTAATCTCCATTGAAGTGGTCCAGTCGAGAGAGACTGATATAATTACTTTAAAGAATGAAGGGTTCATGAGAAGATTTATAAGAGTAATTACAGTGAGGAAACAGTAGGTTAATATTGAATTATAGAAGTAAATAGCAGATGGTGGAGATATCACATCCATGACTTAATAACTTAACCAACCATTCTTTTAAAAGGAAAGTACTTAATATTATATTGTCTTGCTAAAATCAGTTCTCTTAAAATTTTCTAACTGGTAGGCCCGAATGCCACTCCATTGCTCCTCCTTAAAGCTAAGTGATAATCATTTCCCCTTTTCAATTCCTGCTAAAGGTCTCTTTAAAAAATGATTTGTACATTACTTTCAAAGTTTAGCTAGCTTGCGATCCATGGAAGCAAAAGTCACTTCTTATTTTTCACATCAGTATGGTGGATGATTTGCATCAATCAACAGCCCCTCTTGCTTTCCAACTCTGCCTGCAACTCTCTCTAATCTCTATATCCATATTTTTCTATTTTTCTTATCTTAGCTGTCTACGTATAAAAACGTTTTACACATTGTATTCTATCAAATTAACTACTCAATAAAACACTGTCGGTTAACTCTCTATATTCCAACCGACTGGTTGACATTTAATATAAATATTTCTTTATTACGATTGAGTAGCTTCTACTGGGGAGTTGATGATTATTTTAGCATTATGTATATATATATATATATATAGTAATTTATTTATATTAAGATTATCAATATATATATATTTTTCTTATGAGCGGGGTGTTTGAGTCAGCTTATGCGTACCTCAACTAGCTCTCTAGGACCCTGATACTATCAACTGAGTAAGAATTCCAGTGATCACCCCTACTATGGGTTGTGGGGACTCGAATTCGAAAGACCAAGTTAGATCATGCTCTTATTCTTTTATCATCAAGATGATTCAAACTTAGAAGACTATATTAAATCCTCTTTTGCTCTTTTACTATTAAATTACTAGTGATGGTTAAAGATTACCAATATTTTCAGTGTAGCTTATGACAATTCATTTAGTTTTGATATAATAAAACAAAACCAATATGCCCACATGTCTGATTTCATTAGATTGTATATATAAATTGAGAGATAGGTGTACAGTGGCAATTGAGATGATTAAATTCACCATTAGTTCAGAATTGATTTAATTTGGTCCTTACGTTATGTAAATTAAGGTAGCCGAAGAATTTGAAAACTGTGGCTCATGCATATAATTTATGATTAAAATTGAAGATACCTAAGGCTCCAACTAAGTCTGAAATTTATGTGTACATGGTTACTATCATGGGTTTGTTGTATCTTAACAACCAATTGGGATTGAGTGATGTTAACCATCCTACGTATAGAAGTTCTTCTTACACAAATAACATTATTTCTTGTTAATTAAGCGAAGACAAGAGTTTCAGTCAAACTAATTAAAGAGTATTAGACTCAATGTATTACTATTAAATCATAAACAACAAACTACTTGTCGTTTTTCCCTCTCCCTGTGTAATGATTCTGTTCTCTCTCTCTCAAACTCTCGAGAGATATCTATTATAATTAAATTCACTGTTCATCTGAATATGATTTGATGATATTCACTAGTTACGTGATGCAACCGTCACAAATATCAGCAAAAATAAATAAAAATTTAGGGTTTTTAAATTAAGTCTTGTCTGTAATAGTAAAAAGTTGGATTGATGAGTAATATATTATTATAAGTAAGTATTAAGAAAAATCCAGATTAAGTGATTTCATTTTCACGAGGTCTCCATATGTCCACTAACTGAATAAGAACTTTGTAGTTACAGATACAGTCATTAATTTAATTGCTTCTATGAAAAACTTGGTGTTACTGGGCCTTTAATTATGAATTAATTAACCCTAATTAAACCTTAACCCTCACGGCTAACACACCTTCACCTTCACCGACACAAATATATAAATCCTGCCAATTTTATACTTAAATTCCTCCCATGGTAGCCATCGTCGATAGTAAATGGCGTATGAGTACTAAATTATATGATTGGTAGCAATAAAGGCGCAGCCCATAACTTGATTGGAGGAAAATAGAGAAGCTGCATCATATATGATGATATATATAATGGTGAAAGCTTTGAGAAGAAGAAGAAGATCAAGAACGGCCCCAAGGATCTTCATCTGTATAGCCACACAGATCATTCCATACACATCTAGATTGAGACCCTTTCTTTTTTATTTAATTAAATAAAATAAAAAGGAGAGGACCTTTTCATATAAAAATCATTCCTACGCAATCAATTGATCCCGTGTTTCACTGATGAGCAGTACAAAAATCAAATAAAAAATAATAAAAAATGTACGGTTACTTCTGTGGATGACGTGTTACGTTTTAAACATCAGGCAGAGGAATATTAACAGTGGTGTGTGGAACAACCGGCAAGGTTAGGGTACGTGAAAAATGGTTACGTAATACAAAGTCTACGTAGAGAATGTAGTAACTAGTAACTTTCTATATGGAGAATAAAAAGCCGATGAAATGTCACTTTAGGGTTAGATGAAAATCCGGGTCCATAAGGGGACCCATCCGGTTTTAATGTCGGCTCCATTTGTACTTCTGTTACTTTTAAATGGAGATAGAAAGACCTTCACTGCTTGCAAAGCGTCCTGTTTCAATTAATTCTCTGTACATATATCAGGAAAATCAAAACAAACAAAACCGAAATATACAGAGGACAAGAACAAGAAGAAGAAAAGAAGAGAAATTAAGGTTAAGATAACATGGGTCACCACTCGTGCTGCAACCAACAGAAGGTCAAGAGAGGCCTTTGGTCTCCTGAAGAAGATGAGAAGCTCATCAGATACATCACTACTCATGGCTATGGCTGCTGGAGTGAAGTGCCTGAGAAAGCTGGTCGGTGTGCTCTCTCTCTTAGTCACTCTGCGTGTAATTAATTAAATTTATATATAATTTTGTGAAAACTTTTCCAGGTCTTCAAAGATGTGGCAAGAGTTGTCGCTTAAGATGGATAAATTATTTGAGGCCCGATATCAGAAGAGGGAGGTTTACTCCTGAAGAGGAGAAGTTGATTATTAGCCTTCATAGTGTTGTAGGGAACAGGTTTTAAGCAAACTCTCTTCTATATACATTCCATTTTTCAGTGTGAAGTTGTGTTAGACTATACACTAAATTAAGTATAAACTTAGAATTTATAAGAGTTATGATTAGGGTTCTTAGACTTGAAAAAATAAACAGGAAATTAATTAGACGGATTTGCAATCGATTTCAGAAATTTTAAACAAGCCTCAACATTAATTATCGAGGTTTTTGAATTTGAAAATGGCCAGAAATCTCTCACTGTTTTAGTAGTTGCTGAAGCAGCTATCAGAGGTTGTTAACATTAATACTCACATCTTTCACATTCTAAATTATAATATTATATATTTCTTCTTTTTTAGTTAATACTCAATCATTTAAATATTGTTAAATGTTCATCCCTTCTATATAATACTTTGCTTTGAAAAACAATCTATTTGTAATTAAGTTGTATACATTCTACTCAATACTCATTTTAGAACTTTGCATTTTCTTAAAATTGTTTAATTTCTAACGAGCACGAGGGAATTGTAGATGGGCTCATATAGCAAGTCATTTGCCTGGAAGAACAGACAATGAGATAAAGAACTACTGGAATTCATGGATCAAAAAGAAGATACGAAAACCCTCGGCGCCTCAGACGGCCATGTCGACACCTAGCACCACTACTACTGAGCATTCCCAAATAACTTATGCCTCAAACCAACTAGAGTTAGTGAATCAAGAATTAACAACAAGACCACCAGTTCATGAAACCCTTTTTTCTTCTTCGTGCCCTTTTTTTATGTTTGACCCAACTCCACTGGATGGGATTACTGATAATGTACGAGGGGAGCTGTTTCATGAACCAGCCAGCTTGAATAACGAAACATGGAATTCAAACCAGCATCAAATTCAATCACTTCCACCTTCAACTTCTTTCACAACTGGCATTGATGCTCATTATTTGCCGCCATTAATAGAGAACATGGAAAACATGGTGCCCATTGATCATCATAATCAAGTGCAATCTTGTAGCATGGATGATGAAGGAGAGATAGCACTTGACTGCTTACAGAGGCAAGAGTTGAATGAATGGGTTGAATCTCAGCACTCGAACTTTCTATTCTGGGATAATGTGGAAGGACCACTCGGTGGGGAAGACATTGCACCAGCTTCTTCAAATACGGGAACCACACTGTCTTCTTTCCCTTGATCTCTTTAAATTATTAATGACGGTAAAATATTATCCCTGACCCTCCCCTCTCCTTCTTTCCTTCATTCCTTCCTTACTTTGATTTCCAGGGTTGGGAGAGCTTTCAAAATCTTCCAAGTCTTTTGAAAAGAGTTTGTTTCTTTTTCTTTCCTTTCTGCTTTTTTGACTTTCATTGGTGAGATTGTGAAATGTGAGGAAATATGACATAAAGTATGCAAGCAATGTTTTCTTAATTGGTGTTTGTAAACACAAGAGGAACGAATAAAAGCGATGCAAAATCTAGCAAAGTTTGATACTGATGAAATCATTTAGTTGCCCCACTGTGTTCAATCATAGTACTGGATTTGTTTTAACTTTTCAACGATTTTGAATTATCTAATCGGGAAATTATCAACTGTGTTGACATTGTATGCTATCGGAGTGTAGATCATGGAGTACTATGAGGTGGTCATAACCAGTTGTTGTATATGGGTAATTACGCAACCCTCTATATAATTTTGGTAACTCAATAGAACAAATTAAAATTTCGTTGGTTATGACCACCTCATAATACTTGAAGAGTGATTAAAATTTATTCATGGATAGATCGATATATGGCAGTTCATGGACTATTTCAGTTATTAGTTTGATTGAACGGACATCTTTTGACAGAAACAAACATATGGTGATACGTTATTTGTTAAAGAATTAAATATTATATGGAATTGACATATGATTTGCGTATACATGCATGCAAGTTCTTTGTCATATTGGTGTATATTCAATTTAAATGAAGCTAATGATGAAGTTTTGCTTGTCAAATTTTCAAATCATGGCTTATAAAACTATCAAGTATCGCCTTCAATGGCTGATATATTTCATTTCAGTTATACTGTATATAGAAATACTATTGTCGTGTATATATATATATATATATATATACCCATACGTACAATTGCTGCTAATTGGTATATCAATTAATTTCTTAATTATCTAATTTATCCTATCGTAATCTGATAATAGTACAACTATCATAATAGTAAAACTAATTAGTTGATTTTATACTGAAGTAAAAAATGAAACAATATAAATGATTAACAAAGGCACATGCATCGTCCTATTGTTTTTTGTTTTAGTCCGAGCTATTCATTAATTTTTGTGTTGCTAAATTAATAAGCTCATCGAATGAAGGCTTTTTTAATTCCCTCCAAACTCTTAACTGATTTCCAAAAGGCCACCTTTTAATTGTAAATTAGAATGAAATTCATGCCTTCAATTCAATAATATAAATTAATTAGGACGGTTAGTTTGTCGTTAATCATGCATATAAATACACTAAGTTATATAGTTTTTACCATCTATAATTAGCAACCGAATAGACAATAAAAACTCTTAGGTGTATTATTCAAGAGGTTTTGAGTTTGATTTTCCTCAACTGCTAATAGGAGCGGTCACTGGTCATTAGAAGATTTATCCAATTGTTACCTTCAAGACTTCGGAGGATTAGTTATGATGCACATAAGTTAATCCAAACACCCCGTTAAAAAAAAAAAAAAAAATCTGACTATATATTGTTTTAGATTTTTGCATTTTTATTATCTATACAGTAACATAACTAATTATCTTCTTTTAAGGTATGAGTTAAACACATGCTTCCATAATAAGGTAATTAAAGACATCCTCTTCCAGATTCATGAACCCTAACAGGGATTAAAAAAATCATTTTTTATGTTCCCGCCGCCCTGCGGTTGCTTCTGGGATGTGACATAATGAAACAATTATGGATACAAAAACAAAACTCTGCCGTTTAAAAAATAGGTGAATGCAAAAGGAAAGAGTTGTTTCTTATTACAGATAACAATAACGGACCATATAATTATCCGCCAACTAGAAAGCCATAATCACTTTGTACGGGGGGTAACTGAAATGACAAAAGTTGCTTTTCTACCTGATTATCAGAAGGGGTTGTAATGATCCAATCAAACAGCCTAACTTTATTGAAATGGAAAGACTGTCTCATCGATCATCTTGTCAACCCGTCTCTGTGATTTCTACTCCGACGCCTTTGCCTCTTTCTGAAGCAACACTGCAACTTGAAGAACTATATATAATACATGTATGTTATGTTATGTGAAATCTCTTCACTAATATTATTCTAGAACGATCGCATCAGTCTTTTTCTCCTGATCATATATCAACTTTGCAGTTCTATGATTAATTGGTTTGGTAATCTATTAAGGGCAACTTGATTTAAAGGATGTCCCTACAGACACCAACATGAGAACTCCCGAAGAGATTATTGCTAGAACATTTATAGAAAGATTTTTCTTTTCTCTTTATCTCATTCTTGTCTCACGATCTGCTCATATCAGTAACATCACTTTAGGTGGGGGAGAGCGCTGTCCCCGGCCCTTCTGCATTTCCCGGAATTATATGCTTTAATTAGATCTCCATGTTGTGATGAACTAATGAGGAAGATACGGGACACCTGAATGTCATGAAAGAAATTGATCCAGCAAATGTAATTGATGGGCTACTGTCATTTCAGCTCATCAATTTTTTTTTTTTGTTTTTTTTTTTTAAACCCCAATTTTTGAACGAATAGAGAGATACGAAAATCAAACTAACACTAAACAAGCAAACTACAAACAATAAAGAGAAAGAATAAATATACGTGATTTTGCCATTATTCACTCGATTAACAGGATATGTCCAACTGAGTTAATATTATTGCATTAATGTTTCACCTTTCTTATTTACAATGAATGTAATTTACCTTATTGTTTGCTATCACACTCATATAAGAGAAAAATATGTTTATATATTAGGTTTAAAAGACTAAAACCTAATATTACAGGCTCCAATTGGTTCAATATTTTGAGAGGTTTTAGAATAGTCTTTTGGAAAAAATTGAGTTGAGTAGTATTAGAAGTTTTTTGTATATTTTTTAATAGTATTTTCTAAAAATATTTAGATTATTTTAACCTCCACAGGTTTCTTAATTTAACTAAACACCCCCAATAATAAAAAGTTTATAAATTGACAAAAACACCCCCACCAACCCATACTTACCAGATTTCAGCCACCACCCTTAAAAGGTGGTCGGAATCTGCCGTAATGGCGCACTACCGGCTGGATATGGCCAGTAGTGTGCCGATTTGGCCGGAAAAGACCAGATTTGGCTATCTTTGACAACCATATCTTGGTTGTCATAAAAAAAACAGATCTAGCCGTCAACGGCTAGAGCTGGCAGCCGTAGATCTGGTCGGAAAAAGCCATATCGACTATATCCAGCCAATAGTGTACCATTACAGTAGATTCCGACCACCTTCCAGTTGTGGTGGCCAGAATCTCGCAAATATAGGTGGGTGGTGATGTTTTTGTCAATTTATAAATTTTTATTATTAGAGTTGTTTAGTTAAATTAATAAACCTAGGGCGTTAAGAATAATCTAAATATTTTAAGTTGAATAGAATAATAGTGTCTTTTAAAGAGAATTTTGAATATTGAAACAAATATGTATTTAGATAGGATTGGATAAGATAAGATAAAAATAGTGAACCAAAGGAGCCCACAAGAATTTCTATTTTTAAACCCAAACCCAATAATACTGAAATGGTCGACAACTCCAACAATTTTATATATCAATTATTTTAACCATTTCTATCTAAACTCTTTCTAAACACATCAATGTAGAGCAACTCTTCAAAGGTGTATTCTTTTAAGTTCAAGTCCCCAGTAAAACTAAAAAAGAAAAAGGGCATCTTCTCATGACGGAACCACGGTATGTGCCCACACGGTTGACAAAAACCAGTGAATTTCGAAGTTCAGTTCAGAAGCCATTAGTGACAAAAACAAGAGAACTTCATATGACATTTTAGCTTGGGCCCAAAAAGTGCTATGTCCATTTCCACCCCATTATCAGAGAAGCCATTGTTGAAACATGTAAATAAAGTCCAAATTCGAAAATTTACAGGCTCTTTTTAAGCCCAAAAATTGCTAAATCCACCTCATTATATTAGTTCGCTTACGAAAATATGGGCCTAGGTTGGCCCAAAACACAGAATGAGATCCCGGGAGAATCTATAAAAAAACGAAACTAGAACTAGGGTTTATCTTCTGCGAGAGCGATAACAGAGTGAGATTAGCGCATTGTTGCCGCCTCCTAGTCCTTTCACTGCAATCTCCTCCTCTTCGCAATCATGGTAATTCTCTCTCTTTTTTTTCCAATATGTTCTCTTCTGTGCGAATCAAACAGGAAATTAAATAAAATATAAAATCCGCTGCTCTAATTGTTTAATCTTCTGTGCATTCAGATCATTCCAGAGAAGAACCGTCGTGAGATTTCCAAGTACCTCTTTCAAGGTATCGTCAATTGACTTTTGTGTCTTTTTTTTTTTTTTTTTTAAATAAAATTCTGTTTGCATTTTTAATATAGTGTATAAACATTTTACTTTTCATGTCATTATTAGAGGGTGTGTGCTATGCAAAGAAGGACTACAATTTGGCAAAGCACCCGGATATCGATGTTCCAAATCTACAGGTCTAATTCAACTACGTCTCGAAGTTCAGTTTCCTCATACAAGCACAGACCTTTGCTTGGATGCATTACTACTGGTACCTCACTAATGAAGGCATCGAGTTCCTCAGAGCTTACCTCAATCTTCCCTCTGAAATTGTCCCTGCCACATTGAAGAAGCAGGCCAAGCCTGCTGGTAGTAGGCCCTTTGGTGGCCCTGGCGATCGTCCACGGTATTTTTTTTTCCTTTTATTAATTGTTATTGCTTTGTTGTTTTGGCTTTTTAGTGTTACTGGTTTTGATTTATATGTACTCCTAGATGAGGTTAACTGTGAATATGGAAGTGGATGATTTTATGCTTGCAATGGAAATGTGTTCATGTGTGATGATTTGCAGATTTGTAGTTTTCTCAGCGGATTGGAATCGTAATTTCAATCTAGTTTTAACTGAATTTTTTTTGGTTTCTTCAAGTTTCAAATATTGTATCACTTAATTCGGCTATGGAGTAAATGCTGCTTCATTGATATTGTCTTATAGGTTCATTTCATTGGTTGCAATGTAAATTGGGTTATTGTTTACTGTATTATAGTGGTCCACCTCGCTTTGAGGGAGAGCGGAGGTTTGGTGATAGGGATGGCTACCGTGGAGGTCCCCGAGGACCAGGTGGTGATTTTGGTGACAAGGGTGGAGCTCCTGCTGACTACCAGCCTTCTTTCAGGGTAATTTTCTTGTTTTTACTCAAGAAGCATCTTATCGTTTTTTCTTTCTTGAATGGGTCATGTATGCTAATATGTATTTTTCATTTCATATATGTTCAATTTTAGTCATAGACACGTAACATATTGTTTGCATAGTCTGACGTTAGCCCAACATCAAATTGTTTGCACGTTACAAATACTGAAACAGCACTAGGGTTTGATTTGATTGGGTTGGACTTGAAATTTTGGACCATTGGTCACGCCAACACCAAGTATGAATGGGTTGTGCTAGCATGAACCAGCCTATTTGAGTTTCGTGCTTGGTATGACCTAAATGGTTTTGTGCAAAAGCATGATCCAGATGGTATTCATGTTGACACAGCTCAAATAAGCTTTGTAGTGACAACTCAAGTGGGCTATTTTGGCACGTCCCATTTAATATGTCATTGCTAATTTGTGTTTAAAAAATAGAAGTGGCTGAATATATAATAGCAACCTAGTAGGCAAGAAATGATACTTGTCAACAGGATTAGCTTAATTTTGCGATCTATATATTTTGATAAAGAGACTTCAAAGTAGTATGTTTCTAATTTGTGTGACATTCATTATAAACTGGTATTTTTACATTTTGTTGGCTATTGCTAGAGTAAAAGCATATTCATATGCTGGTTTAACTTGCAGGGTCCTGGTGGAAGGCCTGGCTTTGGTCGCGGTGGTGGTGGTTTTGGTGCAGGGCCAACAAGCTCAAATCTTCCTTGAGAGATGATTACTGCCTCACGAGAGTTTTTAACATTTTTTATTACAAGCTTAATTAAATGTGGTTATTCTATTTCATTAATAGCAATATTTGCTCTGCGCTAGTTTGAGACTGTTACTGTGTGGGAATTTTGTTAAATATTGAATTTTGTTGGCTCAGATCAATCAGTTTTCTTTCCTCAATCCAAAATCTTATATGATTTTCATGCAATACTTGTATACATAAGATGTAGGATTTCAAATGTTATTAACTTATTATTGTTTTTACAAAATGATTTGAAACTGGTGATACTGACTTAAATACTAATGGTCCTAATGGATTCAAAAGTGTTTCAGATTATCAGGTGGTATCCTTCTCATAATTAACTAAGAAATATCTTAAACTCTACTCACTGGAAGATAAAGTAACCCCATTCTGAAACCAGGTGCAATGCCTCGAACCAACAATTAAAGATGTACCAATCCCTTCCCCATATCAATTCTGAGATTCAGCCTGTTACTTCGTCTTTGAACACCCATATTTAAATGCAGTAAAGAACCACTTTCTATGAAAAAGATGGGAGCCCTAAAAGTGGACTGAAATCACTACCATGTGAACGAGCTTCAATCTATTATTAATTAACAGAATTAATCAGCATCCAAGCACGGTTTTAAGTTGTTGTTGATAATTAAGGTTGGAATGGGTAGCTAAATACTATAGATTAGAATCACAAATTCTTTTGTCAAGTGAAAATTCAGCTCTCTCTCTCTCTCTCTCTCTCTCTCTCTAGTTTGTAAGTTCGTTTGAGACTCTTGAATATATTACTAAAGAGGTCTTGAATTTGAATCCCCACGACTACTAATAAAGGATAACCACTGGAAGTTTACTTGACCATTAACTTCAAGACCTTGAAAGACTAGTTAAAATGCACATAAGTTACCTTGAACACCCCAGATACAACCAACAAAAAAAAAAAAAAAAATCAAAGCCACATTTTTCTACAAGCACTTGCAGTCCATTATCAATACTTAAGAACAGTCGTGGCTATTTTTCCAAGTTGGAAGAATAAATGACATTCTTGATATAATTGGCAAAAGTTCAATTTTAAAACAGTTACACAAGCTCCCATCTATTAGTAATTGCATTCTAGGTAGGAAACCACATTTTCATTTTGTGTTTTCACTTCAGTCAGAATCAGAGTCCGGATCTACAGAGGATCTCACTGTCCTCCGCTGATTTTCCTCATAACCATCCTCTTCATTGTCTTCGTCTTTCTTCTCACTGATTATACCTATAAAACAATAGGTTTAAGACTCTGCTTTGGGCTTAAAATTGTACTACAATCAGGACAAAAACTCTACCTTTATTTGTCAGAATAGCCTCAAGTGTCTTTATGGTGAAATCATCTTTTCCTCCTAAATCTTGAAACCCAACCAGCCTATCTACTGCAATACCTTTTCTGATATAAAGATAAATATTGTCAAAAAAAATAAAAAAATAAAGCCATTATAGCTTATCAAATTCAAAGATATGATACTAAACTATTTCTATAGTTCATTAAACAAGTATCCCCTCGGGCCAATAGTCCTGTGTATCAAGTGCACATTCTTTTCAGTATTTTGTCTGGTTAAGTAAATGGTTCACTTTGAGGCAGTGTGCTCATTATTATTGATTCGGTTATGAAGATAATAATCTTTTGTCTATTCCAATTTTCAGAAATCCAACAGAACAATACTAGTAAATATTTAAAAGATTGAACAAGATGGGCTTAAAAAAAGAACAATTAAAGACTATATAGAGACCAACCTGAATAATACCACACAAGGCAATGTTTTTACTCCAAGTTTAGTAACAAAGAAGGGTGCATTCTGCAATTCATTAACAATGACAGGCTTCTTATTAGCCACAGCAATTCAAATTTTATATTTGCAACAAAATAAAACAATATCTCAGTTTGCAATCAATAGCCTCAAGCTGAGTCCTTGAAAAATCTCAGTTCCATTGCAAGAACAGAACTGCTTGTGAATACTAACCTCTGCATCCAGCTTGATAAACTTTGTATCAATATGCTTTGGTGCAAGAGCCTTCAAATGCTTATCCATTATCCTAAAAGAATCAATTGACATGACCACATAAATCTGGTAATATGTTCTAATGCATGAGCACCATGCAGCTGTGTGTGTGAGAGAGGGAGAAAGACAGAGAGATATAGGCAGAAAGTTTACTTGCAGCGGTAGAACTCTTTATGATAGAAGTGACAAATCACTTTCTCACTTCCAGTGACTTCACCCAAGAAATCCCCTTCACCTATCTCTCTGTATTCTCCATGTCCTTTCATTTGTAACACTTGTCGTTTCTCAGCTTCTTTCTATTCAAATAAATTCAAACGTGAAAACCATATTTATAAATCTAAACCCTATTCTAAAACCAAATTGCATTTCAGTTCTAAACAAAAAATATTAATTTCAGACCTTGAGAGCAGCAATCCTGTCTGCGTGCAATTTTTCAAGCTCAGGATCCTGCATAGCCATGGCACTCCTATATGAATGAGAAACACATTGGACAAAAATGCAGGATCCAATACATATGTGCATAGTAACTTACATCCATCAGCTCATCAAGATCAACCTCCTCATTGGCAGAAGCTGATGCCTGTGCCTTCTCTTGAGCAAGAATTTCCTGTAAGTCCAGTATATGTACTCATTAAACACCATAAAATTGATCATAAGCATTATATTACTAGCTTCAGCAATTTAATGTTATGTTTTCGTATCAATCTTTAAGTGCAATCTAGATCAAAAAGTGCATGGAAACCAGCAAACTCATAATTTACCTATATCTTAACTACTCCTTAACTCCATTCGCAGTTAATATAAATCTTAAGACCGTAAAAAAATAATGAACAAAAGAAAAGCTAGACTCCTAAACAACTATATAACTGTAAGAGAATTTCATTTCCTATTAAGTAATTTCACAATATTGCTAGCATTATTTACCACCAAAAACAACTACAAGCATATAGAAAGTGGAAAAAAGTCTCATTCTCATCATCTTCTACTCTGTTACACCCTCCTCTTTGTATTTATACTTTTGTGTTTTTGATACTCTACATAATTATACTCTGAACGTCTAAATTCCATTTTTCCATATCCAGTAAGGTGTGCTAGCAAAACAATCCTCATGAATACTCATACACATCTATCAAGAGTACTCTAGAGGTTAGTGGCATTCAATTATACATTAAAAAGTAAAAAAATTGTTTTGTTACACGGGATGCCAAGAGTTTACATGAATGTAGCAGGATCAATTCTTTTCTCAATCATAACCGGAAGTATCATCAAATTTTCCCATTTGATTGGGATACCAAGTGATGATGTGTGTGACATTATAAAAAATGTTATAATACAAAGAAAACAAATACCTTCTGGTAGTCACGAGCAGCCGCCGCTATAACATTCCCAAATGCTAAGTTAGACAGAGTCGATTTCACTGAATCAGGATCCATATCTCTCTTTAGCTTCCTGAAGAATCAAATTTTGTATTAATAGTAGGTAAATTTGTTGGCAAGGTGGATAATTCTAGAACAGAACTTGACCTTCTCAAAAACAGTAAAGTGGAAAAGAACAGAGAAATGTGAGCTTCAACTTTCAATAGAGTAATAAAAACAATTTTTTGAGATCCTAAGAACAGAGAAACAGTAGGTGGACAAGAATAGAGAAATATGAGATCGTAAGCAGGACAGCAGCTCCTAAAGTTGGATATTCATAATTTGTGTTTAGAAAAGTGATGCAATTTGATTTTAGATCTGGGTTTAGATTCCTGGATTTGGTATTCAAGTTAGGATTTATTTGAACAGAAAGAATATGTGAAGCCACAAATGTTACAGTCTCAAATTCGGTACAGACTCCTCTTCTTTACAATAAGACAACACACATCTGAAAACTGATGTCAATAAATATACTCAAGCTGATAAAAAAATCCATGTAAATCACCAAACCGCGATTTCAAAAGATAAAACAAATACAATAAATGGCAGCTAGAACATAAGACCCAAAAAGAGATTTCTTACTTATTAGTTGGAGCTCGGCTTGGTGGTGGCTACTGGTGGTAGTCGGTGACAGATCCTGACAAGAAATGTAGCTAGATGATTATTGAATGAATGAAATTAAAAGCGAAAAAATATTAAAGAAATGAAAAATAAAGAGAAAAAAATGCAGAATTTTACCTGGTTAGAAACTTGTAGGTCGACAGCAGCTTCAAGTAGGAGACTCTGCTGGTGGCAGCGACAGACGGTGACCGGATTAGTGAAAGAAACGGCTATATGTTAGTCTGGTGGGAAGTAAAGCTGCGTTCTTCTGCGTATTAGGAAATTTGGGTTTTATGTTTTTTTAAACTGTGTCGTAGGTTGTAAATTGGTGTAATTACAATAAACTACTGTGTAAATATACCTTTTAGCCCTTGATCTGCAGAGTGGAAGGACAGAACTAACCCTACTAACTAGTAACTACTAAGTACAAACAAAACCCTTTGTCCTGCGTCTCCTCGGATCACTACCAAATAATTGGCGCTAAGGGTTCACAACTAAATAGTAAATTAGGCATGGCAATGTTCCCGAGATTTGGGGGACCCATCCCACCCTGCCTCATATGGGAAGGGGAAGCCCCAGTTTTTTCCGGGATAGGGGCAGGGGTGGAGGGTGTTTTAATCTCCGTCCATGGGAATGGGGCGAGGGTGGGTGATGCATGTCCCCTTGCCCGCTTCGTATATAATACATAAAATTAAAAAAATGTATATATATATTTAGTTTTTACTAATATCCTTATATTTCACCTAATTACACAATTATCCTACTTATATAAACCCATATTTTCCTAATTTCACTCATCCTAATCAATTGAACAAGAACAAACCCTGACCCATATTTATATATAATTAATTATGTTTAAACGATTAATTTAAGTGTTTGTCATGTGGACAAGAATTAATTATTGTGTTTGGTAATGCTCAAATTAATTTATGTTTATATAAAATTAACGGGGCAGAAACGGGCCTCTAACATTCCCCTTTGGGACGGGAAAGGAGAATTCCTGTCATCCCCGTAAAGGGGATGGGGCGGGGGTGGGGAATGATTTTGAGGGTGGGGATGGGTATGGTGAATGAGATCCCCGCCCTGCCCCGCCCCATTGCCATGCCTATAGTAAATAGCGCTAGTCCACCATTAGAAAGGAAATACACCATTTTCTTGTAGCCATTTTCTGGGATCTGCGTCAAGTTATTCTTGGCATATTGACATTATACTATAGAAGGTGAAATTTGTTCATGGATATTGGAAAAATTACTAGTTCAGAAAGTAACACCATCCATCTGAAACTCCCTAAGTTGGAGTAGATGGTTTTCTTTTCCATTCAAATGACACAAGTGCTTTACAACAGGTTTTACAAAAACCCCTGAAGACCTCTGCTTCGACGATTGACCCCAACTGATATTTAATAATGAAGTGCATTTTGAATAAATTCCAAGAGGAATACTTTGGATGATTGATGATGTATCTGCTGAAACATGTTTGCTGCCAAACTAACACTTGAAAGATCGTTTCCTGTATACATCTACCATAATTGTCATGCCCAAATCTCATCCTTGATATGTTCCGTCATTCTACTCAAAACTTGATAGATCGTTTTACCGTCTGGATGTCTTGTATCATTTACCATAAACTTGAACCTATTTCCTCCTACCTCGACGCTACTCCAGCCTCCCTCCTTTCCCATCCCTTTTAATCCTCTCATTTCTGCTCTCACCTTGGCTGCACTCTCCCAATTACCAACACTAGCATAAACGTTACATAATGCAACTCTCCAAATCCTGCTCTCTGGTTCCAAAGTTGAGAGCTGTTTCGCTGCTCTTTCAGCCACGACGACATCGCCAAAGAACCCGCAAGCACCCAACAGAGCACCCCATACTGCTGGGCCAGGCTTGACCGGCATCTTTTCTATAAAAGCTTCTGCTTCTTCAAGCCTCCCTGACCTGCCCAAGAGATCCACCATGCAGACAAAATGTTCCATACTCGGCTCAACTCCATCTCTATGCATGAATCTAAAAATTTCAAAACCTTCTTTGATCATTCCTGAGTGAGCACATGCAGAAAGAATATTGACATATGTAACTGCATTTGGTTTGTGTGTGCCTGATTTCTTCAGTTCCGTGAAAACCTGGAGAGCGGAAGTTGCATCTCCATTGACTCCATAAGCTGTGATTAGAGAATTCCATGAACCAAGATCTTTGACAAGCATTTCTTTGAAAATTTTCTCCGCCAAGTCCAGCTTGCCTGATCTTCCATACATATCAATAAGAGCATTCTGAATAAAAATATCACAAATTAAACCTGCTCTAGTTATGTATCCATGAATAACCTGGCCTAGCTGCAATGATGCTAAGTTTGAACAGGCTTGGATTGACGCTAACATAGTAATGAAATCAGGAGACACTGAACCATTTTCCTTTCTGCTGTGGATGCCTTCAAGCAGCATTAGGGCCTGATAAGATTCACCATTCTTCACAAGGCATGTCATCATGGTATTCCAAGAAACCATATCTCTGTTGTTCATCCTCGCAAAGAGCTGGTAGGCAGATTCACTTTCTCCAATTTCAGCGTACATGTCAATTAAAGAGTTTTCAATGACAATACAAGGAAAAAAATCATGTTTAATCAGGTACCCATGAATCTCTTTCCCCAACTTCATACCACATTGTTCCAGAAGGCTAGCCATGGTCTCTGGACTAAGATAACAACCTTCACCCATAAAAGAAAATCTACAAAATATTTGCATTCCTTCCTTTAAATACTCATTAAGCACGTACATTTCAACTAGAGAATTTACACTAAGGTCATTGCTACTCATCCCCAATTTTATGACTAAGCCATGAACCCACTGTATTTTCCACCATTGGTTAATCAATGAACAAGCATGTAAAATGCTCAGAACTGTTACCTCATTCGGTAGTGTCCCCGCACCCTGCATCCTTATAAAAATGACCAGTGCTTCATCCATCATTCCATTAAATACATAACCTGATATAACTGAAGTCCAAGATACCACATCTTGACAGCTAAATCTCTCCAGAAGCTTCTCTGCACATAACATCAACCCAGATTTTGCATACGCATCTATTAAAGAATTCCTTAAGAAATTATCGGACACAAGCCCCATTTTCACCATAATACAATGAATACACCGGACCAATACGGAATCATCTTTCTTTGCACAAGCTTGTAGAAGCGCGGCTAGAGTGAACTCATTGGGATACACATGTTTAAGCATCTCACAGAAAAGAGTTATTGCTTTATCAGCTGCTCCATTCTGGCAATAACCTGATATCATCGATGTCCAGGACACTATAGTTCTTTCAGGCATATGATCGAACAACCTGGCAGCGTCTTCGATATTCTTGCATTTTGTGTACATATTCAGTAGGGAGTTGTTGACAAACACATTTTCGTTGAGCCCGGATTTTAGAACTAAAGCATGAAGGCAAAACCCGAGTTCTATGTTTCTTGATGATGTGCATGAAGTCAACGCATCGACAGCAGATACCGAATCAACGGCTGTTGAATCATGGTTTACGTTCTCACGTAGAGCAACAGTCTGAACCCGGGAAGTGCATTTTCGGGGCTCTTTTGACCGTTGTGTTTGAGGATTAACTTGGAGACCACAAAAATGTGACGATATGGAAGAGGAAATCTGGGAAGTGAGCATCAGCGTTACTGGCGATAAGAAAATCTTACAAAGAATCGCAGAGGTCAATTCTACTTAATCGTTTGAATTTTGAAATTACAAGAAAATGGCTTGAAATTTAGATGCTAGAGGCGAACTGCATAACGCGGCCAGGTGTTTATAGGACTAGATTAGTTGCAATTACTTCTCTAGGCAGTGCATATTATGGTCCTGATTTAATAGACTCTTCGTTAGGCTACCTATTCCAAAATCTGTATTTTTGAGGTCTACAGCATTTAGCACAGTCAAAATACTAGACAAGGATTAATGGAGAGTAAAAACGAGAGGATACAAATTCGGTGCGATATAGTTTAATATTTAATTATTACAACACACAGGGTAACATGGATTGCGGACAGCAACAATCAACATAAAAAAAGACGAGAGACCATACAGCCCTAACGAAACCGAAAACTAAACACAAACGAGAGATTTACAATCCATGTATGACAGACAAACGAAACTGACTCTACTCTGTATTTGATGTTATGTTCACTGTAGTCCTGTTTGTCTTATCCTTCTTAGTCCACTTCCTCCATCTTGCTCTCCTCATTTCCTTCCTCTTCCAATGGTGGCATCTCTGTATCATCACCAGCAGTCTCATCCTCATCTATGCTGAGACCCAATTTAAGCATCCTGTGAATCCTTGCTGCGAAAGTGTTGGGATCATCCAGACTGAAACCGGAGGTCAAGAGGGCAGTCTCATAGAGCAGCAGTACGAGATCCTTCACTGACTTGTCGTTCTTATCAACCTCAGCCCTCTTCCTGAGCTCCTCCATTATACCATTATCAGGATTAATCTCCATGGTCTTTTTGCTTGACATGTAGCCACTCATGCTGTTATCCCTCAAAGCCTGAGCTTTCATAATCCTCTCCATGTTAGCTGTCCAACCATATTCGCCAGTGACCAAGCAACATGGAGAGTCAACAATCCTATCAGACACCACAACCTTCTCTACTCTGTCTCCCAGAATTTCCTTGATTGTCTTGCACAGGTTCTCGAAGGACTTCTTCTTTTCCTCCTTTTTCTTCTTCTCTTCCTCATCTTCATCGAGTTTTAGCCCTTCTTTGGTGGCCGAGACCAGCTTCTTACCGTCATACTCCTTCAATTGACCAACGGCATACTCATCGATGGCATCCACCATGTACAGCACTTCATATCCCTTCTTCTTGAGCTTCTCCAGAAAGGGCGAGTTCTCAACAGCTTTCTTACTCTCACCACTGATGTAGTAGATATCCTTTTGGCCCTCCTTCATCCTTGTAACATAGTCTTTCAGGCTGGTCATCTCGTCACCACTCTTGGTCGAGTAGAATCTGAGCAAGTCAGCAAGTTTTGCCCTGTTCTGACTGTCTTCATGAATACCCAATTTCAGATTCTTTGAGAAGGCGTCATAAAATTTGTTGTAATCTTCTTTGTTCTCCGCTATCTCGTTGAACATCTCAATGCACTTTTTCACTAAGTTCTTCCTGATCACCTTGAGGATCTTGTTTTGTTGCAACGTTTCACGAGAAATGTTAAGTGGCAGATCATCTGAATCGACAACACCCTTTACAAAACTGAGATACTCTGGAATTAGCTCTTCACAGTTGTCCATGATGAACACCCTCCTCACATAAAGCTTGATGTTGTTCATCTTCTTCCTTGTGTCAAAGAGATCAAATGGGGCTCTCCTAGGAACAAAAAGAATGGCCTTAAACTCAAGCTGCCCTTCCACAGAGAAGTGTTTCACAGCAAGGTGATCTTCCCAATCATTAGTGAGGCTCTTGTAGAAGGCTGCATACTCTTCCTTGGTAATCTCCTCAGGTTTTCGCAGCCAAATTGGTTTCTGTTTGTTGATTAATTGCCACTCATGTGTCACTTCCTTAACCTTCTTCTTACCCTTCTTCTCTTTCTCCTCATCAACTTCCTCCACATCCCCTTCCTCTTCCTTTTTGGTTTCCTCATCTTCATCGTCACTAACCTCTTTCTCAGTAGTCTTTTCAGTCCAGAGATAGATGGGGTAGCTAATAAACTCGGAATGCTTCTTCACGAGGTCCTTCAATCTCCTCTCCTCCAAGTACTCCAACTACAGTATTTAAAGAAAAAAAACACGTTTTATCAGTACCAACTCATCAACTACATTTCAAGAGCATAGTGCAGAAAAAATGCATTCTATTTAACTGGGGAAAACACCAGAACAACATTAAGCTCAAATTTTAGGTCTAGCAAAATCTGTTTAACAAAACACAATATCTCTTAATCAACTAATTTACATCAAGGTGAAATACGTAGTTTGTCGTTGCATCATGAATATATACATTTAGATTTGTGTTAAAAAGTAACACGTTTGTAAATTCTAGAAAGATAATTAAAAAGGTATCATACGAATAGTTCAGCATTTGCCATTGAAATTCTTACCTGATCCTCCTTGAGAAAGAGCGTGATCTTTGTTCCTCTGCCCAGTGGTTCACCGTTAACATCCCTAGTAACAGTGAAAGACCCTCCAGCCTGAGACTCCCAAACATACTGTTCATCGTCATTATGTTTTGTTGTCACAATAACCTTCTCAGCCACNTGCGTATTTTTGAGGTCTACAGCATTTAGCACAGTCAAAATACTAGACAAGGATTAATGGAGAGTAAAAACGAGAGGATACAAATTCGGTGCGATATAGTTTAATATTTAATTATTACAACACACAGGGTAACATGGATTACGGACAGCAACAACCACTAGCCATGACTTCAAAATTAAAGAAGACAGAGACCATACAGCCCTAACGAAACCGAAAACTAAACACAAACGAGAGATTTACAATCCATGTATGACAGACAAACGAAACTGACTCTACTCTGTATTTGATGTTATGTTCACTGTAGTCCTGTTTGTCTTATCCTTCTTAGTCCACTTCCTCCATCTTGCTCTCCTCATTTCCTTCCTCTTCCAATGGTGGCATCTCTGTATCATCACCAGCAGTCTCATCCTCATCTATGCTGAGACCCAATTTAAGCATCCTGTGAATCCTTGCTGCGAAAGTGTTGGGATCATCCAGACTGAAACCGGAGGTCAAGAGGGCAGTCTCATAGAGCAGCAGTACGAGATCCTTCACTGACTTGTCGTTCTTATCAACCTCAGCCCTCTTCCTAAGCTCCTCCATTATACCATTATCAGGATTAATCTCCATAGTCTTTTTGCTTGACATGTAGCCACTCATGCTGTTATCCCTCAAAGCCTGAGCTTTCATAATCCTCTCCATGTTAGCTGTCCAACCATATTCGCCAGTGACCAAGCAACATGGAGAGTCAACAATCCTATCAGACACCACAACCTTCTCTACTCTGTCTCCCAGAATTTCCTTGATTGTCTTGCACAGGTTCTCGAAGGACTTCTTCTTTTCCTCCTTTTTCTTCTTCTCTTCCTCATCTTCATCGAGTTTTAGCCCTTCTTTGGTGGCCGAGACCAGCTTCTTACCGTCATACTCCTTCAATTGACCAACGGCATACTCATCGATGGCATCCACCATGTACAGCACTTCATATCCCTTCTTCTTGAGCTTCTCCAGAAAGGGCGAGTTCTCAACAGCTTTCTTACTCTCACCACTGATGTAGTAGATATCCTTTTGGCCCTCCTTCATCCTTGTAACATAGTCTTTCAGGCTGGTCATCTCGTCACCACTCTTGGTCGAGTAGAATCTGAGCAAGTCAGCAAGTTTTGCCCTGTTCTGACTGTCTTCATGAATACCCAATTTCAGATTCTTTGAGAAGGCGTCATAAAATTTGTTGTAATCTTCTTTGTTCTCCGCTATCTCGTTGAACATCTCAATGCACTTTTTCACTAAGTTCTTCCTGATCACCTTGAGGATCTTGTTTTGTTGCAACGTTTCACGAGAAATGTTAAGTGGCAGATCATCTGAATCGACAACACCCTTTACAAAACTGAGATACTCTGGAATAAGCTCTTCACAGTTGTCCATGATGAACACCCTCCTCACATAAAGCTTGATGTTGTTCATCTTCTTCCTTGTGTCAAAGAGATCAAATGGGGCTCTCCTAGGAACAAAAAGAATGGCCTTAAACTCAAGCTGCCCTTCCACAGAGAAGTGTTTCACAGCAAGGTGATCTTCCCAATCATTAGTGAGGCTCTTGTAGAAGGCAGCATACTCTTCCTTGGTAATCTCCTCAGGTTTTCGCAGCCAAATTGGTTTCTGTTTGTTGATTAATTGCCACTCATGGGTCACTTCCTTAACCTTCTTCTTACCCTTCTTCTCTTTCTCCTCATCAACTTCCTCCACATCCCCTTCCTCTTCCTTTTTGGTTTCCTCATCTTCATCGTCACTAACCTCTTTCTCAGTAGTCTTTTCAGTCCAGAGATAGATGGGGTAGCTAATAAACTCGGAATGCTTCTTCACGAGGTCCTTCAATCTCCTCTCCTCCAAGTACTCCAACTACAGTATTTAAAGAAAAAAAACAAGTTTTATCAGTACCAACTCATCAACTACACTTTAAGAGCATAGTGCAGAAAAAATGCATTGTATTTAACAGGGGAAAACACCAGAACAACATCATGCTCAAATTATAGGTCTAGCAAAATCTGTTTAACAAAACACAATATCTCTTAATCAACTAATTTACATCAAGGTGAAATACGTAGTTTGTCGTTGCATCATGAATATACACATTTAGATTTTGTGTTAAGAAGTAACACATCTGTAAATTCTAGAAAGATAATTAAAAAGGTATCATACGAATAGTTCAGCATTTGCCATTGAAATTCTTACCTGATCCTCCTTGAGAAAGAGCGTGATCTTTGTTCCTCTGCCCAGTGGTTCACCGTTAACATCCCTAGTAACAGTGAAAGACCCTCCAGCCTGAGACTCCCAAACATACTGTTCATCGTCATTATGTTTTGTTGTCACAATAACCTTCTCAGCCACTAAATATGCTGAGTAGAAACCAACACCAAACTGCCCAATCATGCTCACATCAGCACCCGCCTGTAACGCCTCCATAAACTCCTTGGTCCCGGACCTCGCAATTGTTCCCAGATTGTTCACCAAATCTAGAATAACCAACAATAAAGATCGTCATTATTATCATCATCATTTAATCTTCTATAAACTGAAAAATCGCTGTTCAATAATTGGATGAACAATTTGATCATGTAATAGCATACCAGCTTTAGTCATGCCGATGCCACTATCAATAATTGAGAGCGTTTTGTTGACTTTATCAGGAACAAGCCTGATAAAAAGCTCTGGTTGAGCATCTAGCTTGCTCTTGTCAGTTAAGCTTTCGAATCGGATTTTATCCAACGCCTACATGGATTAAAACACGGTACATTCAATAAAAGAAATGTAAGAAAATAAAAATTAAACAATTAATTCAAATTGAACAAGAAACGTTAAGCATAGTTGAGAAGCGAGCACTTACATCAGAGGCGTTACTTATCAGCTCACGAAGGAAGATCTCTTTGTTGCTATAGAAAGTATTGATGATCAAGCTCAAGAGCTGATTAATCTCAGCTTGAAAAGCAAAGGTTTCAGCGTCTCCCATGTGCACCTCAGCCATTGACGATCAAATTAAAAACAGAACAAGAAAGTGAGCAAGCAATTAACGGTTGCAGAAGATCTAGCGACAGAGAAGCGAAAGTTGAAATATTTTGTGTTCGAAGTTTGATCGACGCGAATTTCGATTGATTGTGAGAGAGGACAAGGGGGGTTGTGATTTTATAGTGGGAGAAGTTCTGGTACCTTCTTTTGCCAACGAGTGAATGGAATGTTTTGGAATCGGCTTTTTCGCGGGATCTAGACTCTTCCGTTTGGATATTTCAAAATATTTTTAAATCGGTTTAGATTCTAGAGTCTTCCTTCAACGGTGTCGTTTATACTCCATTCTAACCCACCAAGTTGTGGGATAAAACATATTTAGTTTTTGTTATGGTTTTTTCTTTTAAAGACTTAATTTTTTGTATTTGTCTTATTAAATTTTTTTTTTTTTTAACTACATTGGCATCGATTGGATGAGAAAGTATCCAATCTAGACACAGGATAGATGGGCTCCTAGATTTCAGACAAACACATGGTAGATGAATTCTGGTGGCTTCCGATAGGTATTATCTACTTTGAGCTCTGAAGTTTGTACGGTTTTGTTTTGAAAAAATACTTCTAAGTGATAAAAGTGTCTTTACGTTCTATAAGACCTTCGTCTCCTAACTAATATGAGAATTTGACATTAACACATTTATTAAAATTTTATCACTTCTGTTTTAATTTTTAAAATTATTAAAATAAATAACAGTATTAATAATAAAAATTAATGTACATGTAATTTAAAAAAAAAAAAAAAATTGAGAACTAGAATCAGTTCAGATTTAACATGAAAACAAATGACATAATATTCAGGCCAGTTAGTATGTAACCGAGTACGTGAAACTGTGTAGTATTAGGTGAGTTCCATGAATGTTGTTTCTACAGCAGAAATAACATTCATTAAAAGACAAGGGACACAAATCGACCAGTATAATCGTGTGTCTAATAAATTAAACATTCTGTTCCATGCTGTAACAATAGGTGGTTTAATTCAAGACCCAAACGGTTAAAAATGAATAATAATTTTCGGAAAGAGGAAACATTTTCAATGGGCAATACTGATTATTTTTTATATAGTCTACCAAATAAAGGGAGAGTAACAATTGCCCACCCAAGGTTTAGCAAAATGAAATTCCCACCCAAAAGGTTTGAAAAAATTATTCCCCATCTACCATTGAAATCCATTAGTAAAATCTGTTAACTGATATGATACAGTTATTGTAAAGACAAAAATATCATTTATTATTTGACTTAATAAATTTTTTTATGATTTTTTTTAAATGTTTAATAAATAAAAAATTAATCAAAACAAAACTTCATCACCACAATCACCTCCTATCTCCGCCATCGTATTCATCACAATTTTTCATCTCAAAATCACCACCTTCACCATCTTTCATCTCATAATCCAGAACATCAAAAACAATATTTTTCTCAATCAGCAGCAAAATCAACCCACAATATTAAAAACAAAAAACGAAAATACAAAAACTATGGTCGGTTCCGGTTTCGGCCGTTGCACCCACAAACAAAACAAAAAGAAAAATCACATGCTTGGCCGCCATGTGAGGGCCTTGCAGCCGCCAAATTTGGTCACTGCAAGGCCCACACACCGCGACCAAACGTGATCAGCCACGTCCGTTGGCAAGAGAGAAGAAGAAAGAGAAAAATAAAGAGATGGAAGAAAAGAAAGAGAAGAGGAAAGAGGAAAATAGAGAGATGGAAGAAAAGAGAGGAGGCAGTGAAGAAACAGAAAAAAGGAAAGGGACAAGAGAATGGAGATATACGGGGAATAAAGGAACTGAGGAAGAAATAAAGAATAAAAGATACATAAAGGCTTTCAGTGAATTCACCATCCTGTTATTCTTCAGTTAACGTTAACAGACGGATGTTAACGATGGGTTGGAAATTGCTTTTTTCAAACCTTTTAGGTGCCAATTAGTTACGCCAAACCTTGAGTGGGAAATTGTTAGTCTCCCCCAAATAAAATAAAGAACCTGGCAGCGCTCTGAACTGTGGCCACTAAAGAAACAGAACCCCTTCTCTGTAATCGGCAAAATGCACTGCCTTTACCACAACAGGAATTTAAATTTATGGAATCTGGAGCAATAGCTATTCTAGCCATAGAAAGTAGCTTCAGAAAAAACAAATACTAAACCACTAAAAGTATGTAAAGGTGACAATGACTGAAAGTAAAGTGTTTGTACAAATAATAGCTCATTGTTTTAGTATTTCAGAACAAATATTTCAGAATCAAAGAAATTTCGTTGTGAATAGTTCTATTATTGATCTACAGTTTTAGAAAAATATTCCTTGTGCGTCAAACAGAAGAAATGTTAACTATACATTACTCTCTCCAAAACCTGGTATGGATTTGGTATCTCCGTGATCAGAGCTGAGCTCAGCCATTTCACATGATTTATTTCTTGATATATATGAAGCCTGATAATCAACCCATTCTTTAAGAGTTGAGGCTTCCACAACTTGAGAGATAAGATGTCTGATCCCACTGAAGAGAGCATGAAAGAAGAAAGAACAGATGAGAGTAGAAATGACTCAGGGGACATTGAAGCTCGAGAAGTTTCAGGTCATCGTCATGGCCATAACTCAAAGGTCTGCCCAGCCCCGAATGCTTTTCATTTTCATACCATTTTCTTGCTTTGATGGAGTTTCCTTTTGTTGATCTTGTTTGGAAGGTTATAAACTGGTCAATAATATTGCAACTAGCTTTCCAGAGCATCGGTGTCGTGTATGGAGACATTGGTACTTCTCCTCTTTATGTGTACTCGATCACTTTCAGGGGTGGCATCAATCATGTGGATGACATTTTGGGTGTGCTCTCCTTGATCTTCTACACCCTCAACTTGATTCCTGTAATCAACTACACATTCATAGTCTTAAGAGCTAAAGATAATGGTGATGGTAAGTGTTGTAATAATCACTATCAAGAAACCAGAAACATAAATGTAAGGAATTGATATGAAGAGGCAAAGAGTAGCAGTTCAGGATGTTGATACTGCCAAAGTATGCCGAGAGAAAGGAAAAGAGGAAAAGATTTCAGTATATTTCATTGTTGTATTAATCTGTACAGTGCTAATTTATACACCTTTTGTAATTGTAAAAATGGAAAACAATGAATACAATTAAATGTAATTATTCAATCAATCACATAAATTATGGATTGATTGAATGAGAGAATTGCTCCTTGATCACAACCAGCATGAATCAAGGAATTTGTGCATTCCATATTTCGTCACTCCCCCTCAAGCTTGTGGTTTGTAAATGTCAAAAACTTCAAGCTTGCTAAGTAAATATGAATGTTGTCTGCTGCACAATGGCTTTGTGAAAATGTCTGCTAGTTGTTCTGAAGTATGAATGTGCAAAGTCTTGATTACCCCTTCTTGTATCTTGTTTCTGACAAAGTGGCAATCAATCTCTATATGTTTTGTTCTTTCATGGAATACTGGATTTGCTACGATGTCATTTGCAGCTTTGTTATCGCAGTATAAAAGGACAGGCTTTCTTACTTGTACCTTTAGATCTTCTAATAACCCCAAAATCCAGATGATCTCACATGTTGTTTTGGCCATGGCTCTGTATTCGGCTTCTGCTGAAGATAGAGATACTATTGATTGTTTCTTGATCTTCCAAGAAATAAGAGCTCCCCCTAACTTGATATAGAAACCTGTAAGTGATTTTCTTGTCATTGGACATGTGGCCCAGTCTGAGTCACAATGAGCTGTGACAACTGATTCTTTGTCTTAGGGAAGGAGGAGTCCTAATCCAGGACATCCTTTCAAGTACTTTAGAACCTTTATTGCTGCATCCATGTGAGATTGTTTTGGCCCATGCATGAACTGGCTAAGAATGTGGACTGCATAACTAATGTCTGGACAAGTCATGGTGAGATAGATCAATCGCCCAAGAAGTCTTTGATACTTTGTAGGATCTTCTAGTGATGGATCATTTTCGGAAGATGATATCCCACTGTCATATTCTTCAGTAGTCAGCTTTGTATTATGTTCTACTGGAATGATACTTGGCTTGCATCCTAAAAGTCCTGAATCAGAGATAAGTTCCAAGACATATTTCCGTTGGCTAAGGGATATTCCTGCTGGGGATCTTGCAATTTCAATGCCTAGGAAATACTTTGGCTCTCCTAAATCCTTTATTCGAAATTGTCTGTTAAGATGCTCTTTTAAGGATTTGATTCTTGTTTCATCATTCCCTGTAATAAGAATGTCATCAACATATATGATGAGAGCAATAAAAGTTTTACCTTTGTTCCAAGTGAATAATGCATAGTCATGTTTGGACTGAACAAATCCTATGCCAGTGAGAGCTTTACTGAATTTCTCATTCCATTGTCGGGATGCTTATTTTAGCCTGTAGAGGGATTTCTGCAGACGACATATTGTGTTCTCCCCCTGTCTGCGTAATCCCGGTGGAAGATCCATGTATATTTCTTCATGAAGATCCCCATGAAGGAAGGCATTATGAACGTCCATTTGATGGAGAGGCCAGTCACGAACAGAAGCTACTGTAAGAAAAGTACGAATAGTGACATGTTTGGCTACGGGGGAAAAGGTGTCTTAATAATCAAAACCTTCCCGCTGAGTGTATCCCTTGGCCACTAATCGAGCTTTGTACCATTCTATGGAGCCATCAGTACGATGCTTGATTTTGTAGACCCATTTACAGTCAATAGGTTTTCTATGAGAGCGGCGAGGCACGAGATCCCAAGTATGATTCTGAGAGAGAGCAGTAAGCTCAGCAGCCATGGCTTGACGCTAGTGAGAGTGTTGAATAGCCTCTGAGTAACTAGTGGGTTCTCTTTCTGCGGAGATGTTACTGATGCAAGCTCTATATATAGGAGAGAGATGATCATAAGTCACATAGTTTGAGGTGGGATACAGTGGAGTTAAAGGATCTGAAATGGTGGGACACTCATAATCTGTTGCCCAGATTGGTAGTTTAGGCTGACGAGTGCTGCGGCAGACAGGAACAGTAGGAGCCTGAAGAGGAGAGCTGGGTGGAGGAATAAAGGGTTGATCCGGTGGATCTGCTGTAGTGTTATCAATGTTGGTTGTGTCAGGGTCAATAATAGGAGTACTAGGCTGAAGAACTGGTGGATTAGGAACGA